TTCGTACAAACAACACTGTGAAGGAAGTTTAACATAAACCGTATTTTTGTAATTTTAAACTACTGAACAGAAGAAACGCAGTAATTGTTTGTTTGTTTGAAGTTAAGCACAAAGCTACACAATGGGCTGTACGTGTTCTGCCCACCACGGGTATCTGAATTCGGTTTCTATCGTTGTAAATCCGTAGATTTACCGCTGTACCACTGGGGGGGAGGGGGGGGAGGCTTCAGTCAGTAACACCCAACGAATGACCATCCACGCTAAGGGATTTACTGTCACTCTTATAACGCACCACAGCTTAAAGTGCGAAATTAAGACAAATACCATAAAGCCAAACCGAACTCTTTAACAAAAAAAAACTTTGCATGAAAAACCCAATATGTGAAAAGATACTCCGGGAGCTGGGCTTGAACCTAGGAAGTCAAGCTAACAAGGCCAGAGGCCCTAAATTCAAGTCCTTGTCTTGACGTCTTTATTTATTTATCGGCTTTTTGATACAAAACTTTGTTAATTAAAAGCTTCTTTTCGATGCTCCCTAAGGAAATTCTGATACTAACGACAAGAAAACAAAGTTTACGTCAACTGAAGATACCTCTAATAACAGGGATTCATGGCTTTGTAGATGAGTATAAAAATACGTTTAATACCGCGGCCGTTAATTACACTATTGTCTTTTATAAACAATGATCACTGATCTTCGAAGTTAAGTTGAACACTAATAACATTCGTAATTGTTAAGAAAGTATGTTTTTTAAAACTAGAAAGCCGATCTGAAGAACAGTGGCTTTGTACTACAGGTTAACTGGCAAATAATGGTAAACGACTCCTTTAGTAAAGTCTTTTCGGCATCAGATATGTAACATGAAAAGAAAAACTTATGAGTAATTTATTTGAAACTTTGTTTAAACATATGGCTATACTTAAACATATATAATAACAAAAGAGCCTGTCTGTCTGTCTGTGTGTGACCGCCATAGCTTCAAGAGGAAAGGTTTCGTTTGAAGTTAAGCACAAAGCAACACAATGAGCTATCTGTGCTCTTCCTACCACGGGTATCAAAACTCGGATTCTAGCGTTGTAACCTGTAGAGATAGCGCTGTGTCACTGCGGGGGGGGGGACCCTAGAGACCCGAAACTTTTCACGCATACCAAGAGGATTCTGAAGGTGTGCATCTGGGTATTATTTTTTAGATTTGGCTGACCAATTTTTTTGCCCTATAATTTTGCCCTTAAGCCCCAAAATTCTGCTTCCTGAAGGTCTATCAAAAAGTATTTAATATTTTTTTCGGCCAAATACTCCTTTTCAATACAAACGTGGGAAGAAAAATATATATCTGAGTTGAACTAAATTTGGTAGGAAAGTGTTAAGGTATGTTAAACTTCCTTCACAGCGTTATTTGTACGAAACGATGGCTTGTAAGCACATCGAGGTATGGTAGGAAAGTGTTAAGGTATGTTAAACTTCCTCCACAGCGTTATTTGTACGAAACGATGGCTTGTAAGCACATCGAGGTATGGTAGGAAAGTGTTAAGGTATCGTTTAATAACGACCATTACAAACTCTAGAGCGCCTTCGGCACGTGCGCGCGGGCAGGCGTTATTTCTGAAGACTTGGAAGTTGAGATTCGGAGGAGATGGTAACGTAGTCGGAAAAACATCTGTCGTGTTATTAGTGTCACGTGTTCCATCTCAATTGTCGCTTCTTTAAAAGAACTTCGAGCGTGGTGTTTTTCCCTTAAAGTTTCAGTTTGATCACTCAAAATCGACACTTCGAACAACTAAGAAAAAAAAAAACGCAATATTACAGTATGATATTAATCTTTACAGGCCGATGAGCTTAGTTTAGAATTCCTGTCAAAATTCCAGCCTTAATCATCAATGGAGTGAAATGTATGGTTTCTGCGTTTATTGAGGAAAACGTTTCTCAATTTTAACAATACTTTTTTGCGTTTATTGAAAAAATATTTTCCCAATTTCAAAGTTATATTTGATGGATACCAGTATATCATGAAGTTTTCAGTTTTAGTGCGAGAAAAGTATAATTATTCTTATCCGGTGTATTAATTTTTAGTAGTATATGTGTGCCTGGGAAAATGTAAATATTTTTTTATTTTTTTTCAGCTGGACGGGTTATTTTCAGACAGCTCAAGTTGTAGATTAGATCGAACATTAGTGTGAAAATATTTTATACAAGAATCAAACACTTGTAATGTATAGAAACATTAGTTGTAACTCGTTACAGTATTCTGATTTTGTCCTACTTGTTAAAGTAATCTAATGTTGCCCCACTTGTTACGGTAATCTGAAGCTATCCCTACTCGTTACAGTATTCTGATGTTGAAATATGGCAACATCAGAATACTGTAACGAGTAGGGATAGCTTCAGACCACCGTATCAAGTCGGGCAACATTAATTACTTTAACAAATAGGGACAGTGGTTATTAGGGTTAGGTGTTCCAGTCATGATACTATAGATGTTCCACATATTCAGTAGCGTGCGCGTTATAAGAGTCACAGTTAATCCAATTATTCAGTATAAGGAGCCTCTCGTGTCAATTTCCTTCAGATCAGAAGCTGTCCAACTTTTTTAATAAATGAAAATAATGTTGTTGTTTTCTTCTGTAGTGAAGCATGGTTTGAAGAAGTAATGAGATCTAAATTGTAAACAAGACAGTTTCAATAGTTTATCTTCCGTAGTGACTTTTAGTTAAAAAAAAAAGTCACTTATATCATCATGATGTACTTTAAACCTACATTTCAAAAACCAAAACCGTGGAAATTTTCATTAGGTAGGAAGTCTTAATAAGAAGTTGTCCAGTTCTTCTGTTAGAGGTCGCTGCTGATTTTCCAGATTTAAAAAAAAAAGGAGGTGATTAATTATGCTCTCTCTCGAATTAATCTTTTTTAATTATGTTCAATGTTAAGCAGAATTCCAGAAACTGTCGGTTCAGTTATTAATAAAATAGGAAATTGAATCTCTTTTTGAGAAGAGTTGTTTGTTTAATTTCGTGCAAAGCTATTCGAGGGCTATTTGCGCTAGCCGTCCCTAATTTAGAAATGATAAGACTAGCAGGAAAACAGCTAGTCAAAACCACCCACTGCCAACTCTTTGGCTACTCTTTATTAAAGAAAGTCGGGCAACATTAATTACTTTAACAAATAGGGCAACATCAGAATACTGTAACGAGTAGGGATAGCTTCAGATCACCGAAACAAGTCGGGCAACATTAATTACTTTAACAACACCTAACCCTACTAACCACCATCCACGCTAAGGGATTGACTATCACTCTTATAACATCATGACTGTAACACCTAACCCTAATAACCACCATCCACGCTAAGGGATTGACTATCACTCTTATAACATCATGGCTGTAACACCTAACCCTACTAACCACCATCCACGCTAAGGGATTGACTATCACTCTTATAACATCATGACTGTAACACCTAACCCTAATAACCACCATCCACGCTAAGGGATTGACTATCACTCTTATAACACCATGACTGTAACACCTAACTCTACTAACCACCATCCACGCTAAGGGATTGACTATCACTCTTACAACATCATGACTGGAACACCTAACCCTACTAACCACCATCCACGCTAAGGGATTGACTATCACTCTTA